TCGTCACAGGCATCGGCAAGAGTGATGTCCTGATCGGCAGCGTGCAAGGCCTGAACCACTAAACTAGAGCTATAACTGTTGCCTAGTAGTTCTAAAAGGTTAACCTTAGTGCCTTGCAAACTGCTAAACTGGACATCTTGGTCTATGTTTGCTTGCCACAAGATTAAGGTGGAGTGTGACGCCAAAGTTACGGCGCTGAGACTCTTGGCGCCGCGGGCAAGACGCGCGCCGATGGTCTCAGGGAGGCGCCAGCAGTGGGTGAAGAGGAACTCAAGCGCGTGTAGCACTTGCGGCGCTTGACGTGTGGCCTTGGAAAGCACGCAGCCACCTGTGGGGGAGTTAGCAAAGCCATACAACGCGGACTGTCCCTGCTGCAGACCCATCAAGGCTTCTGTGACAACTTGCATACACTCAGGCCATGCTGAAGGCTGGTTGGCGGTGTACAGGACTAAGAGGGTCAGGCGTGCATCCTGACTCCTGTATGTGCGCTTCTGGCCGTTGACCCTCACTAGGACCTGGCCTGGCAAGGACTCAGTAACCCTGTACGGACCCGACCAACCTGAAGCATCTTTACTGGGCGGTTTCCGGAAAACATCAACTAGATCCCCTACCTTGAACTCGCGGGTGCTATCTGGAGATGTGCGCGTGTGCGCCGCTCTGTTGATGCGTGCCAGGCTGGTGGCCTGGATCATGGCTTGCAATGCTGCTTCACGGATGTAGGCACGCTGCCTGTCCCCGGCTTCGCCAACTTGCTCGCGTTCGGGCATGTCAGGAATTTCAAGCGGGGGCAACATGGCAGGCTGCCTGCCATAAACCGCCTGGTACGGAGTGCTGCCTCCGATATGCACCAGTGCGTTGCCGGCGAAGATGGCTTCGGCCAGCAGGGCTGGAAACGCGTAGACCAATCCTTCGCGCTCAAGCTGTTCTTCCATCACATGAAGAGTGGCCCGTAGTATGGCTCCGCGACGCTCAATGTAGCGCGCATGCTGCTGTGGAGCTCGCAGCTTCATTTCGATGCCTTGGCGTTTTATGCGGTGGGCGATAGCATCGCTCCATAGGCCGGTTTCGCCATCGGCAATCAGCTGCTGCATTGGGCCGTGGAGCCCAATCCAGCACGTGTTGATACTCTCGTATAGCACTTCTCCGTCTTTGCTTGGTATGGCGCAACCTGCGTGCCATCTAGTGGCCCGGCACACAAGATGGCATACCACAAACGAACGGTAGAACAGGAGGTCAAATTCCACATGCTGGTTGAACTTGAGGCTAGCGGTGAGCGCGTGTTGAGTGGCATTGCCAGGGCGCTGCCACTTACGGCATTCTTGGCAGGTGTTTATTATGTCGGGCACGTACGCTATGATACGCTGAGGAACGCCCGCTGCTTTGAGGATTTGCTCCAAGGCCTGGCGTGAACAGTGCCAGAAGCGTAGGTGTAGCTTACGTAGTTCGGTACGGATAGCCCTCTCATTTCCAACCCGGAGAACGCGCATGGAGCGGCTTATATCAAACCGAGTCCAGTCCGAGGGGACTTCGTGTCCTACGCCTGCCTCACGAAAGACCCTGCGGTTGCGAGGCGCAGGCTTTCTGCATATTTCTGCTGGAGCGGGCAGATCAGAGGGAGCTGCAGATGCTGCTGCCGGAGCTGCGTTTTCCGCGTCTGAAGGCGCGTAGTCCGCTTCCTCCACATCCGAAGGGAGGGCTGCACTGGAAGAAGCGTCTTTGGGCTCAGGAACCCGCGCAGCTTCATCTTCCTCAATTTGGCCAAGATCCGTACCGTCAGGGAGTTGCGCCTGTAGATCACGAGAAGGATCATCAACAGCTTTGCGAGCTGGGGCTCGTGGGTGCCTGCCTCGGCGCGGGACACCCTTGCGTTCTTCCACCAAGACATGCTTGCAATCTGGCCCCATAGTGTGAGTGGGGTGTCCGCGCGGTCTGTGAAAACGGCAACCCTCACATTTCCAGGATATGCTTTCAGAGTGGGGGTACTTGCATTGGCCTGGGACGCGGTTGTGCCGGTCATCATGCTGATTTTGGCGTCCGCGGCATCCGGGGCACTTCCTCCACCACTCTTCGCCAGGCACCTCGGTTGGCGGCGCGGCTTCCCTTTCATCCGGCCCCACAGCAGCTGAGGGAAAGGCTTGGGTGAGTTGTTCGGCTGTGCATAAGAGGCTGAGGCCATCCATCACGCTGTCAGCTAGCGCGTTGCTCCACATTTGAGGTGGCTTTTGCGCTTCAGGACATCACGGGTGGTCCTGAAGTGGCTTAAGGAGGTAGGCGTGGGTGGCCCAGAAAGTGTATGACGCGGATCTGTCAGAAACATCCTGGTGGATGTGCTGTGAGGACTGCAGGAACTGCCACCAGGCGGGAGAGTGCGTCGGTCGGCCAATCCAGGGCTGCTCACAGATAAAGTGTCGGGACTGCAGTTTCTGGGTTGTGGCCATTTCCTCGCAAATTGGCGTCAGTGGGTTGGGGGCATGGTTTTGCCACGTAGGGAGAAGGACACACACAAGTGGGCGTGAGGAGAGCACGTAGGATCTTAAACCAGTCCTACACTTAGCAACCGTAGGATCTAGTATAGTCGCTAGACTGAGGTACCTTCCGGATCCCACGCGTCTCCTTACGCACCACAACGCTTGCTGGGCATGGCCTCCTGAAAGGACACATATTTCAGAGTCGCCCTTTGGCCACTGACTCAAGGTTTGCAGCGCATGCTCGAAGCTGCTGGCCAGGAAACACGAGGTCGGTTGCGGCGGCAGGCCTGGCCCTGCCGACGAGCCCAAAAGCCAATACGGTGGAAGATTGTACGAGTGCTGGTAGAGGGCCCAGTGGGCTAGATGCACAGTCTCCGTTTTCGGCAGATAGGCAGCCAGGCTTGCGAGGCTGGTGCCGCAGTCGTCGTGGTGGTCCTCGACAACTACCTTGCGGGTCTTGGGCTTAAGGCCTTGAGCTTTGAGGGCTTTCAGGTGGGCCTTTTGTTGGATACGGGCTTCAGTTGGAAAAGCTGACTCGGTTGAGGGGCCAGGCAAGGCTTTGGGCATCGACAAGTGGGAGTCTGGGGCTTCAGCCCGTCTCGCTGCCGAGTGGCCAGCAACGGACTCCTGACTTGGGGCAGTTGCCCTTTTCATCGATGCGGAAAAGAACGGCCTGGAGAGGTCGCCATCCGGCTCGCAAAAGTTTGGGACCAAACGCAAATCAGCGTCACATCGGGCGGGGGAAAGTCGAGCCGGATTTGTGTCGGGTGTGCTCGGTCTGAGTTGCTGCGCCAAGGGCGCGTGGGAAGGCACGTGAGCAAGCCACTGGCGACCACGCGAAAGGATACTGCTGCATGTGCTTGGGCTCTGAGGCGGCGCTGATGGGGTTGGGAGGTCACCACCCAATCAAGCTTGTGCTGAACACCCCGTTCACAGACGCACGGGTTGCCTGAGAGGGGAAAGGTGCTGGCAGTGACAAAGGCTGTGGAGCTGGGCTCCTGTTGCGTAGCATCTATCCTAAAACCCCAAGCACAAAGCCTATGATAAACCTTACGAACCTGGCCCCTGGCAAGGAGATCCTGCACACCAGGGGCCAACCAACCCTTGCCATGGGGCCCAAACAAGACCGCGGAGATTCCCAGCTCGTGGCAAAGACGAAGCCACACACATAGCTGGGTCATGTGGGAAGACAAGCGGTCTTTATGCACGTGCCGGCCTGGTATTGGAAGGTCCAGCCACAAGGCTTGTATCTGCATACTTTTAAGGCGCTGAGACAAAGTTGCAGTGCTCGAAGAGTTCACATGGCTGGGGTGGTATTGCGCCACCTGCCAGCCCATTTGCTGCAGACATAGAGAGACCGAGGGAGTCTCTTCCACTACCACAGCTATGCCTGCCGTGACTGCGGGGCTGAAGTTGGACGGAGCGGGATCGCCAGCAGGGCACTGCGCGACAGGCGCTGGGTCAGAAGAGGCCCCCTGGGTGCCTGGTGCCTGTGTAACCGCTGCAAACTGTTGCGCTGATTCCGCAGGTTCCTTTAAAGGCACACAAGGGAACTCAAGTTCCTGAAGGGCTCGAAGTAATTGTCTTTGAGCGTACGGCACTCCCCTGCTAGTGTAAGCCGTCACAGAGATACGACAGCCCTTCCAAGGTAAAACGGCGTGGCTCAGTTTAGGACAAAAAGCAAGAGGCTTACAACGTGTGCTGACTGCCACGCCAGGGATTTTGGAACCGTCGTTCTTCGTCAACCACCGTATGGAGGAGCTTGTAGCAGCCTCTTGAGGGGATACTTCCAGCCAAACTTCGCCTCCTGAGAAGGGGCCAAGACTGACTGTCACATTGACAGACCCCCATAAATTATGGTTGTCACGATGGCAACTGCCTGGGGAGTTGTAGTTGATGTGCAGCGAGGTCCACGTGACCTTGGGGTGGCTCGCTCTGAGAAACAGGTTCAGAAACCGGCAAAGAGCAGCATACCTATCACTATTTATAGTTAACCCTATTTGGTTTCCGTGGGTGTACAAACCTAGAGTAAGGCTCTTTGACGGGTTCTTAGCCTGCTGCGCAGAGCGCACGTGGGTTCTGGCTGGGAAAGGAGTGCGCTGCAAAAGCGCCTCGCAACGCTTTGCGGTGAGATCTCTGTCAGCAAGAGCCTGCTGAGCGCGTGCTTCCGACGCCTGCAGACTGCTGTAGGTCACTCCGTGGAGCGGTTTCTGGATGCCTCGGATCTGGGCTGCGCACGAGCTTGCGATGATGTGAAATGGGCCGTTTCAGGAGGTGGGGATACGTGCGCAGGCTCTGACAGGGCAAAGCTGGACGCAGGCCCACGTGGAACAGAACCCATAGGATAGCCAACGGCATGCTCATCAGGGCTCTGCGTGAGCCCATGTTCAAAGTCAGCCTGCGCTGACTGGGAGGCAGGAATCTCTCCAAGAAGCGGGCTGGTAAGGAAGGTTTCTCCTGGTGTGTCTAATGAAGTCACTCTGTGGTCTTCAAACACATCACACCTCATGAGGAGGTGCCCGGACGGTGCCGTCATGAGTGGATGCTCGACAGAACCTGGACTCTCTCATACTCCCATCCTCCAGGGCCCGGGATCAGAAGCTTGAGATCCTCATCTTGTTCACTTAAGACTAAAATGGCATTCTTGGCGCGGAGGGAACGAAGGCCAAGGAGAGCGGGTAGGCCCGCTCCTGTACCACCCACAACAGGTGCCTCAAAATGGCATCTGGAGTTGCATTCCTCTCCATCCTTGATGGCATGAACACCAATGGGCAGCTTCACTGACCAAGTGCATTGCTGGGTACCTTGTCCTACACCTGCTATGGAAAGGGGTGCGTTCAGCTGCCGTTGCGTGACCGGAAGTCCAAGGCTGCTGCACTTGTGGGCCAATTGGCGTACCCAGCGGAGACCTGCAAGGTTGGTGTAGGCACCAGGATCAATTAGGATGCATTGGTAGTCTTGGTGGCTAGTGCTATGCAGGACCATGGCCTGGGAGCCCTCGCACTCAGGAACACTGGGCCACCATGGGAAAATGCGGCTAGCGTGGAAGGCTTCGAAGTTGTACGGGGACTCTCCAGGCTCCTCATCAGCTGCGGCGGCTGGAGGCGGAGTGTTCATTTCGTAGGTCTCGGGTCTACGTGTGGGCGTGCGCGCGCCTGCATCTGTCGCACGGCTCTCCTCCGACGCTGCTCGGGAGGGATGCTCAGAGGTTGGCTGCGAAGGACCTGGCGTCTCGTAGTCAGCTCTATACGAGAAGCGAGCTATGACTCGGGCAGAACCGCGGCACACAGGGCAGCTCATGCGAGCTTGAGGGTGCATGAGGTATTCAGTCCAACATGCAGTGTGGTACAAATGCCGGCACACAAGCCGCACCACACTGTCCCTCTCCAGATACTCCTCACGACAGAGGGCGCAGCTGTCATCCAGGGCATCGTAGTCGTGATGATCCCAGGTGTCAGGGACTTGGATCACACGCCGATGCCTGTTGCGTTGTTGCGAGCGTCGGGTTTGCACCACCTGTTGGGCCTGACGAAAGGTTTCGATCTGGCCCTGCTGCGCTCCTTCAAGCCTTGACACGATGCCCATGCCTGGCTCACCCTCTATGGCTTCCCCCAACCATCGTCGCGTGGTGAGCACAGTTGTTGCGGCCAGGCCATCTATGGCATGGGTGGCGGGCCCCTCTAAGGAAGACAGGCCTGGTTCTCCAGACCCATGCAGCCCACCCACCAGAGGTACGTGGGCGGGGGCTTCATGGTGAGTAGGTTGCAGAAAGCTGAACAAAGGCATTTGCGCCCACGTTGGTAGCGTGGGGGGCGACTGGGTCCAAATGACCTGTGTGGCGACTGGTGGAAGAGGCACCTGTGGGGGCGAAGCGTGTGCGCCTGCCTGTGCACCTGCCTGTGTACCTGGAGGCATTTGTGGGCCGGATCCACACGCACACGGGTTAGGGCCTAAACCACTACAACCCATATGAGGGGAATGGGGCATGGATCCGGCGCAAGCTTGTGAGGAAACCTGTGCACCTGCCTGCATACCTGGAGGCACCTGCGGGCCGGGTCCACGTGCACACGGGTTAGGGCCTAAACCACTATAACCCATATGAGGAGGGTGGGGCATGGACCCAGCAGTGTTTGCGGAAGCCTGTGCGCCTGCCTGTGCTTGGGAGCTTTGCGCGTTGCTGCCTGGCGGGTGGAAGGCACCCCGACTGCGAAGATAGGTGGCCCACGCATCGTTGTCTGTGGCAAAAGACCAGGAACTGTCTGTGTCCCCGGCTGCCTGGTCTGAGGGGACGGCCATGAACACAAAATCTGCCAAAGGGCCTTGGGCAGGGATCTCGTCAGCTACGCCAGCGCTGGCATAGAAATTTGGATTAGGGGCAGCGCCTGCTGTGCTGACTTGATGCTGATGCCCGTCGGTGCGCGGGAGGTGGCACTCACGGCTCAAGTGATTTTCGCTCCCGCATCTAAAGCATCGCATCCTTTGACCATCCTTGCCCAGCGGATTGCGGGCTCGACCCTTGCCCTTGCCATTGGAGCGCTTGCCCCGGCCCTTGCCCTTTCTTCCCTTGAAGCCCGGGAACATCATGGCTACCTCCTCGTCGTCTAGAGAGGCAAGGAATGCTGCAACATTTGGCCGCCTGCCCTTTCCCCAGGATTTGTTCTTCCCTTTGCCCTTGCCACTCTGCCGGCCGATGTACCGCCTGGTGAAGCGGCGCACAGCGCGCGTGGGACGACCCATGTACTTTCGCCAGGTGGCCTTTGCGCGGCTGTAGGACCAGAACAGATGTTCTTGCAACGACGCCTCATCTGTCCAGCCCTCGGGAGTGGCACTCGGGACCTCAGTATGGCCGGTCGATGATGCAGTGTCCGTGTCGGTGGCCCCGTCAGACTCGAGATCAGCAAGGAAGGCACTCTGTTGCTGGACCTCGAACTGCAACCCCGAACCGCTAAACTCATCTCCCCCATAACCCCAACTAGCGGCGGCGCTGCTGGACTGCTCTGCTGCCCCGTGAGCCATGTACGCTGCATGGTGCTCGGCAGTGCTGACACTGGGGTCCGTGGCGAGGTATTGGGGTTGGGAGTTACGTCCTCTTAGGGCTGCAGCTATGTTACCTGGAGAGTGTTCCACTATGTGTCCCATCCTACGGAGCTGGGTCTTCAGGACCTGGAACTCCTGTTCATCATTAGGGAATCTACCCTGGAGAGGCAACAGAAGCTGCAACAACTCCGAGTCGTTGACTTCGCAGGCGCGCAAAAGAATGTATGCTAGTCCGGTGATTGACATCGTGAGCTGTCCCAGATCAAAAGAGCGTTGACGAATCAAGTCAAACCGGGTGATTAATTCGTCGATCCTTTCATTGCCTTGGCGACTAAAGTTAAACAGGTCTGTGATACTGGTCAACCTCAGTTCTTCACCCAGGTCAGCAAATCGCTCGGCCAAGGCATGCATGATGTATGTGAGTGGGTCTACATGATGGCCATTTATGGCCCCCCCGTGTATGAGGGTCATAGGCGGTATGGTACGGCAAAACTCGTAGGCAGTTCCCTTGAGGCTCATAGTCAGGAGAGCCGCCTTTCGCGAAGGATCACCCTCTGCCGCGATGGACCACGTGAGGACATCCTGGGCCCAGTGACGGAAGGGATATCTGTGGGCCATGTCCGGGGACCATGCCGGGGGTATCCTGGGAACTGCGCTGCCGGGAATCATGTGCATGAACGCTGCACCCCAACCCACTATGATAAGAGAAAAAGCCACTAGAGTTAAACCCTGCGGCCTGCTTAATCCCCTAGCGAAACCCAGAAAAGAACCAAGACTAGGGTCACTTATGGTCTCAGAGGGTGGGGGTGATGCTACTGTTGCAGCTGTGGCTGCAGTGTGCTCGCTGTCCCCAGTGACAGACACCAGGAGTGCGAGCACGCACACAATGCCCAGGGATGGGCACACAGCACAAAGGGCTTTGCAAATGGCCACCATCTGTCCCAGCAGAATCAGGAGCACATTGGGGACGGACACGAATGGAAAGGCCCGTAGGCCACATCTTTCCTGTCCGCCGCCAACTGCGCTCAAGCGATTTTGCTGGGGCAGAAGGTAGCCCGCTTCTGTAAAAGCCATGGCGGAGTAGCCGATCGTAGCGTCCGGGTCCGGTTGCGCGTCGCCGTATACGTGCGCGCTCCATTCGTCGACCCAGTCCGGTGTAAAGGGCTCGGTGGCATACATCTCGTGATGAGAATACCAAAAGGACGTCATGTATGGCGTGCTTTCACGCGAATTCCGGGGACCGCGGCCAGGTAGATGTGGAGAAAAGGGTGTACCGTCTGGCTTGCTCCACCTGGTCCACGATCGAAACTGTGCTGCGCCGTGCAGCCGCATCCGCCGGTGAAGGCGAGATGATGCCACTTCCCAAGTCGGCCCTGGCAACGGAGCATGAGCTCCGCTACCAAGTCCGAAGACAAGGAGTAGCAGAAAACATGTCACCACGGAAGGCTTCATTTTGCTACCTTTCAGGCTTGGTAACTACGATTTGAACAGCTGCTCGGCTTCGCGCACCCATAGAGTTGGCTATACAACCGATACAGCCATACAGGCTAGATGGTTCCCTACAAGTAACGCGGCTTTAGGGTTTAGGGTTTAGGGTTTAGGGTTTAGGGTTTAGGGTTTAGGGTTTAGGGTCTAGGGTTTAGGGTTTAGGGTTTAGGGTTTAGGGTCTAGGGCTTGTGGGGTAGGAAGGGTGTATAGGGTGTAGGGCTTGTAGGGCTTGGGGTTTAAGAGCCCCAAGCCCTAAAGCCTCGACCCAAACCTTAACCCTGTAACTCCGATGGATTTAGGGTTTAAGGTTAGGGTTTAGGGTTTAGGGTTCAGGGTGCAGGGTTAGGGTTTAGGGTTTAGGGTTTAGGGTTTAGGGTTTAGGGTTTAGGGTTTAGGGTTTAGGGTTTAGGGTTTAGGGTTTAGGGTTTAGGGTTTAGGGTTTAGGGTTTAGGGTTTAGAGTTTAGGGTTTAGGGTTTAGGGTTTAGGGTTGCTTCCAATTTCGCACAAGTGGCTGTAGCACCTGCGCTGCCCGCTCACCGCTGAGGGAGCTTCGCTCGTCCTGGACATGAGAGGCTAGGGTTCAGGGTTTTGGGGTAGGGTTTAGGGTTTGGGTTAGGGTTTAGGGTTTAGGGTTTAGGGTTTAGGGTTTAGGGTTTAGGGCTTAGGGTTTAGGGTTTAGGGTTTAAGGTTGAGAGTTTAGAGTTTAGAGTTTAGGGTTTAGGGTTTAGGGTTTAGGGTTCAGGTTTTTGGGTTGTTGCGTTTTGGGCTGAGAGTCTAGGGGGTGTAATCGGGGTTCAGGGCTTTCGGTTCGGGACTTCGCTAGGCTTGCCCGTTTCGGGTTTAGGGTTCAGGGTTTACTCTAAACCCTAAACCCTAAACCCTAAACCCTAAACCCTAAACCCTAAACCCTAAACCCTAAACCCTAAACCCTAAACCCTAAACCCTAAACCTTTTTAAATACCGCCCTGAGAACCTCGAGTCGGATCTTCATCATTTGGCATCCAGTATCTACACTCATCAATATTGACAAGGAACCCTGCATGCACCCACCAAAACAACCCAAAAACAATAAGGGTTTAGGGTTTAGGGTTTAGGGTTTAGGGTTTAGGGTTTAGGGTTTAGGGTTTAGGGTTTAGGGTTTAGGGGTTTCTATAACCCCCCCAAACCGTATACCAACCCGATAGAACCTATCAATCCTACGAACCTTATAAAGCTAAACCATATAAACCCGGCACCCCTGTAAACCCTATAAACCTTACAAGACCTACAAGCCCTATAAACCCTATGAACCCTACACTACCCGGTACCCTCTAAACCCTATATAAACTCGAGAAACCCTACAAGACCATGTAAAACCCTGTCATGTATGCGTAGGCCCGACAAACCCTAAAAGCCCTATAAAACCCATAAACCCTATAAACCCTATAATGCCCTGTAATACCCTCTAAACCATATTTAAACCCTATAAACCCTGTAAAGCCCTATAAACCCCGTAAATGCATTAACACAAAAAACATGTGTAAACCCCATAGAACCCTAAACCCTAAACCCTAAACCCTAAACCCCATGTAAACCCCATAGAACCCTATTTACCCGAAACCCTGCCTCCCAAGCAGGGAGCTCGAGTTGCCAAGGGCCTGAGGCCCCCAAAACCCTCAGCGGGTTTAGGGTTTAGGGTTCAGGGTTTAGGGTTTAGGGTTCAGGGTTAAGGGTTGCCCTAAAACCTTAAACCCCTGAAGACCCTGAAGCCCCCCGGTCCGCGATAAGCTTCCCTCAAAACGCTCGCCTCGCTGGCGGCCCCGGCAGACGTGCTCTCGGCGTCCTCCTCGCCCCACAGGCCGTCAAAGAGCTTAGAGCGTTTAGGGTTTAGGGCTTGAGGGTTTAGGGTTTTGGGTTAGAGTTTAAGGTTTTTAGGGTCTTAGGGTGTTTGAGGGTGTTTTAGGGTTTTCGGTTTAGGGTTTTAGGCTTTATGATGAGGGGCTGGTGGGCTGGGCTGGGGCTGGGGGCTGGAGTCTGAGGTGGGTAAGGAGGAGGAGCCCTGGCCCCAGACCCAGATATTACCCTAACCCTAAACCCTAAACCCTAAACCCTAAACCCTAAACCCTAAACCCTAAACCCTAAACCCTAAGCCATAAGCCCTAAACCCTAAACCCTGTTTGTTCGCTTAGAGCTTAGGGCTGCTAAGGACATCTCTGGATGCCGCTAGGCGGCTTCAAAACGCGGCCAACTGTGCGAACTGTTTAGGGTTTAGGGTTTAGGATTTGGGGTTTGGGGTTCAGGGTTTGGGGTTTAGGGTTGGGTTTGGGGTTTAGGGCTTACTAGGATTGGGGCCTTTAGGGCTTTTCGGGCTTTTAGGGCCTTTAGGCCCGGTAGGGCCTTTAGGGCCTTCAGGCCCTGTAGGGCCTTTAGGGCCTTTCGGCCCTGTAGGGCCTTCAGGGCCTTTAGGCCCTGCAGGGCCTTTAGGGCCTTTGGGGTCTTTAGGGCCATTAGGGCCTTTAGCGCCTTAAGGGTTTAGGGTTAAGGGTTTGTCTGTACGGTGTAAGGTTTCAGGGTTTACGTGTTTATGGTTCAGGGGTTGAAGGGCTTAAGAGGTTAGAGTCTTCGTAGGTCTTTCAGGGTTTCAGGGGGTTTGATGAAGGGTCTTCACAGGGCATTTTTTCACGGTCTTTAGTTTCTTGGGGATCTTTTCGGGTCCGTGGGGTCTTTATGGTTCAGGTTCAGGGTTTTGGGGTTTAGGGCTTTGGGGTTTACGGCTTTTGGTCCAGGGTCTTTAGGGTTTATTGGGGTTTTAAGGGTCCAGGGGTTTTAGGGTCTTTTGCGTTCAGGATTTTGGGTTTCAGTCAACAAGAGCACGTTGATGGCGGCATCGTTCAATCGTGCTGCTCAGCGCAGGGCCTGAGATGTGGCTCACTGCAGGCCATGTGCCAGGAACTGACGCGCGTCCGCACTTGAGATCGATGCGGTTGTTGGCATCACGGTAGCGGAACTCCATCTAGTTTGCACGAACTCCTCATAAAATTTGAAATAGAAGGAAATGATGTCCTAATCATAAAGCAAATATCTCCGCAAGTGCTTACGTAGGCTTTTTACGGCTTTAGGGTTCAGAAAGGGCTTTAGGAAATACTGGCAGGGGCCTTTCAAAGCACAGCGGTGCCTAAACCCTAAACCCTAAACCCTGCACCCTCAACCCTAAACCCTAAACCCTAAACCCAGGAAGCCCTGAGCCACAAATGAACAGCTCGGAACCCAAGAACGGTCCTCCGCCTCCTCTTCTGCCTTCCACAGGGCCCTAAACCCCAAGAATTCCTAAAGCCCTAAACCTAAACCCTAAGACCGTAAAACCCTAGACCCTAAAACCCACAAAAATGGGTCCAAGGCGTAGGTTTTCGGATTCCGGGTTTGTCGGTAGTTAGGGTTCCATAGGGTTTAGGGTTTAGGGTTTAGGGTTTAGGGTTTAGGGTTTAGGGTTTAGGGTTTAGGGTTTAGGGTTTAGGGTTCAGCATCTCAAGTCCAAGCATTCACTAGTCAAGCACTTCATCGAGCGTTGGAAGAATACCCACCCGCCCAAAGAATCCCATAACATTAAGAAAGTATTTCGCTTACATGTATAAATTCAGGCGACAAGACAACAACTCTAAAGCCAGCCCAGAAAAGAGTGGGCAGTGAACCCTAGCCTAGAGTGGGGCCTGAACCCTAAAGCCCCTAAAACCAGCCCAGACTAGATACTAAACCCTAAAGCCAGCCCAGAGTAAGCCCTGAACCCTAAAGGCAGCCCAGACCCCGACAGCATCAGATTGAACTAATCCTGAACCCCTAAACTCTAAACCCTAAACTAAACCCCAAAACCCTAAACTCTAAACCGTAAACCCTAAACCTTAAACCCCGAGACTTTAACCCTAAGCCCTAAGCCCCAAGCACTGAGCCCCAAGCCCGAAGCCCTAAACCCTTAACCCCTAGCCCAAAACCCTAAGCCCTAAGCCCTAAGGGCTCTGCCTCACTGATATTCGCCTGCCAAAAGGCGTGCTCTTTGCTCAGCTTCCGGAACTTCATCGGCACACATGGCATCACTCGATTTCCTCAGGGGATGAGCCGCTTCAATGTTCCCGGGTGCGCCATGACGGGTTCGTTGGCATCTGAGACCAGGGGCGGCCCTAAACCCTAAACCCTAAACCCTAAACCCTAAACCCTAAACCCTAAACCCTAAACCCTAAACCCTAAACCCTAAACCCTAAACCCTAAACCCTAAACCCTAAACCCTAAACCCCCGAGATCGTTCACCCTCTTCTGGTCCAGCGGCACGTTGGGGCTGAGGGAGGGCCGAAAGTTCAGCCAGAACAAGTTGCCCGCAGCAAGGTACTCGCCCTCCCTATGGCCGTGTGGAATTTAGGGTTTAGGGTTTAGGGTTTAGGGTTTAGGGTTTAGGGTTTAGGGTTCTCAGACACTCAATCAAAGCAAAGGCCCGATGGCACAAAGATGTCCGGGCTGACTCTGCCCGCGACCCTGAACGCTAAAACCCTACACCCTAAGCCCTAAACCCTAAACCCCTAGCCCTAAACCCCAAACCCTAAGCTCTAAGCCCTAAACCCTAAACCCTAAGCCCTAAACCCCAAGCCCTAAACCCCAAACCCTAAACCCTAAACCCCAAACCCCTACACCCTAAACCCTAAACCCTAAACCCCAAACCCCTCCACCATTTTGCCGACCTTGGCAGCTCGGAAGGCGCGATCCAGGACGGCCTCGGCTTCGCGGAGGAGCCGCTGCCTGAGGAAGGGTTTAGGGTTTAGGGTTTAGGGTTTAGGGTTTAGGGTTTAGGGTTTAGGGTTTAGGGTTTAGGGTTTAGGGTGTAGGGGTTTAGGGTTCAGGGTTTAGGGGTTTAGGGGTTTAGGGGTTTAGGGGTTTAGGGGTTTAGGGGTTTAGGGGTTTAGGGGTTTAGGGGTTTAGGGGTTTAGGGGTTTAGGGTTTA